GAAAGAAAGAAAGAAAGAAAGAAAGAAAGAAAGAAAGAAAGAAAGAAAGAAAGAAAGGTTTCTACTCATTTACCTTGTCTCAGAGCTATTATGCTGACCTAGTAGTTAGGGATAATACAATAATAATAAGGTCAACCAGATGGGGTTTTTTTAATCCAATGTCACATGGTAATTTCCACTGTATTTGCCTTTTTCCTTGTCTTGCCTTTGATTTATTGATTTAAAAAAATATCTGGCTTCCCTTTTTAAGCAACTCTGGGTAGTTCACAAGATTGCAATTTGGAGCACAACGTGCCTTGGAATATAGGGGCCAAAGGTCTGTAAGCTTCGATTCTGCCTTTGCTCCCAGCTGCTTAGCCAAGTATCAAAGCTTTGCTGGGGCTCCTCCAGTATATACTGCGCTGTATTATTTTTGGCATATTAATAAAATTGTGTTGTGTCCTCAAAGTGATTTAATTGCTTTAAGTGAACTAGATTTTGACCATGACTTAAAACCACAGACATGCATCTAACTCTCTTTACATACCTTGCCAACAATAGTTAAATGCTTTTCCTACAGTAATGCAATTTAGGTAACCTACCATCTATGTCCCCATCTTCTCAAAGATGCAAAGTAGCACAATGCCACAGTTTAGTTAGTCTTACCTAGATATGCACAAGCCAAAATATTTGCAGGTCACATTTTGTTTGAGGTCATTTCTTCCTAGTTTCTAGTCTTATGCTAGCTACAAATATTGCTTTTGGGAATAAATAGAGGCACCCTATAGCAGCAGTCACCAACTGCTGGGCCACGGGCCACTGCTTGGCCGCGAGAAAATTTTGGTGGGCCTCAGAGAAATCTCACCCCAAGAGCAACCCACCCCCCAAAGCAATTAATCCAGGCTGCGCAGAAACACAAGGCTGCGCCATCCACATGGCCCACGGGAACCATTCCCATCCACTCACTCCTTACCCAGCAAACTTGCCTGCTAAATTGCTATTTTTTCTTTTTCCGACCATCATCTGTTCTCTGTGCCGGGAGATTTAGATTAGCTAGGAAGCAGAAAATGGTTGGATTTCTTGCTTTCTAGCTAGTCTTTAGATCTTTGGCTCTGCTTTTAAGCACAGCCGAACCTCCCTTAGGACTGAAGGTTCTATTATTCAGTGCAGACTCACAGCAAGCAAATTTTATGTGGCAGACTGAGCTAGCCGATGACAGATAGATCACTAAATGATTCTGTGACATCTCAATCTGCCTGCCTGCTTTGCCTGATTTTGGGTAAAAGTTGCTATTTTTTAAATAAAAGATTCAATATTTATATAAATACTTATAATATTTACATACAAGCCATGCCCAGCCAGTCATATGACCATAAGCCACACCCACAAATTAGGCCATGCCCACAGAACCGGTTAATGGTCCCTGGGATTAAAAATTATGAGTTTGGTGGTCCCTGAGGTCCAAAAGGTTGACGAACCCATGCCCTATAGAACACTTTAGATTTAGTGAGCTTACAGCAACCTGTTCTTTTCTCCTCAACATGACAGCAGATGATATTTGCTTTAAGAGATATCAAGCCAACAAACCAACCGGTCTGATAATTGAATTTGGTGGTGCCTCCTGCTTATTCTAGTTCTGTGATGGTGAACCCTGGGCAGACGTGCCACCAGTGGCATGCAGAGCCCGCTCTATGGCCACATGTGCCGCTGCCCAAGCTCAGCTCTCTGTGGCATTTCTTTCGTGAGCTTCTGTTTCCCTGCAAACAATGAAAAATAAGCTCATGAAAGAAAAAGATCTCACCTCTGGCAGAGCTCCAGTGTTGGGATGCCTTGCCTCCCACCGGACAGCTGGTCTTTGGGTCTCTGCTTGCACATGCACGCACACGCAGTTTGGACACTCGGTGCTAAAAGGTTACTATCACTGCAATAGTCAGTGGACCTTCGCCTGAAAGCACAGCACAGGCACTTAGGATTCTAAATAATCTGCTAAATGGATCTACTGAGAAATTTGCTTTTGAATCAAAAACAATGATTAAAATTAGACCTGCCTGCAGAACTCTGAGCAATCATTAGCAAAGAGTTAAGATTTTTTTGTAGCTTTTTGCTGTCCTTCAGTTTTTGCAGTCTGGATATGGTAGTTTTATTGAAAGATGATTTTTTTTCAACCTGCCCCACTTTATGAATGCAGAATGGGTTTCAAGCAGTTATCTTGACCTTGTAACACAATTTTTGAGTTTTCTAATGGCACACAAACTTCTGAAAAGCTCAGTTCAAATATTTCAAAAACACTTAATTACATTGATTTGGAAAGCTCGAGTGAAATATTTGATGAGGACGTTTGCATAAGCTTCTTCTGAAACTGATATTCTGGGATTGATAAAAAGTGGGTGTGCTCTTCGCTGTGATTTCTTCTTAGATATCTTGTCAGAGTTACACTCCGAACTCCCACTTGGCCTCCGTCCATAGCATTGAAGAAAATGATTTCATTTTTCATCTGATGGGCAGACCAGTGGACTACAACAAAGGAGAGGCCTACTGGATTGGTGCACATGACACCTTCAAGGTAATATTTTTATATCTTAAAAAAGGCAACATCAATGCTTAATCACTGATCTGGAAAGGCACTGTGATGACCCGGGGCGTGGCACAAAAATAACAAAATCACCAAAGTAGATAAATTCCCTTTAATGCCTTCAACTTGGCCCACAAAGTCCAATAATCCTCGGCGGGAGATCAAACTCATCCAAAAACAGTCTACAAAGGGAAGAAATGCAGTCCGAACCCAAAATACAGATAAAGTAAAAGTAAAAAAACCAACACAAACCACGCTGAAGTAATTAACACGACAGACCAGGATAATAACTTGCAGACTTCCAAAAGATAACAAGGCACATATAGACCTAGATAAGCCTCGACAAAGATAATGCATGCTTTGCTTCCAGCAACTTTGCCATGTGCAGTTTGCCCTTTTAAACAGTCTTCCCAGCTGCAGCCCATGAAGGGGATCAGGGCCCTTTCCTCCCCCATAAACCACATTGCTCCCTTATCCGTTCCTCCCTGCGTACCCTAGGATGAAGAGGGGGTGGGCCTTGGTCTTCCTCTGAATGCCCAGCCGGCCTGTGCCCTTCCCCAGTTTCCTCCACATTCACTGGAGCCACATTCCCACTCCCTATCAGCTGTTCCACCTCTCCCTCAGAATCAGATTCCAACTGGGGCATGACGGGCACCAGGTTTTACCCTCTCCCTCCCCCTTTATTCCTGCCTCAGGATAGACAACTCTCAACATGGCAAAGTGTGATTGTTTATGCTTTGCACATCCTTCTCCCAACTCACTTTTCCCATGTATTGTCTTCAACCAATGGCCCCTCTGATTATGGGAAATAATGTCTAGCATATTTGGATGGTACACGATTAAAGAAGGTTGGCTCTGCACAAAACAAAACATGTTGGTGTTGTTTGAGGAACATCGTAATCTTTTATTCCAGTACATTTATTTTAACAAACTCTGTAAACTTCCTCAGGAGGGAACCTTTGTGTGGACTGATGGTTCAAGATTTGATTTCAATTCATTTCCTTCTGAACAACCTGATGGATTGTCAGGAGAACACTATCTTGGCTCCTGGTTCATACGCAATGGTAACTTTCACATATTTATTACCCAGTATATAATGAGAGGTATATTTAGGAAGGGATTGGCTTATGCATAGCTTTTAGGAGGGCAGAATTTTGCAACATGACTAAGAATGAGAATCCATGGGTGATACATTATTGGTAACTGCTTAGATGCAACCCTTGCTTGTGTGAAGGGCATTGTACTCATCTGAAAGCAAGACAGTTCTGAATTTTAGATACCCCGCCTTCTTTTACCTATGATCATACTCTCAGCGACTGTAAGGCATCCATTCTATTTTAAAGGTGAATTACTTGGTGGAAAATTCCCACCATTTCAAGTTAATAGCAATAGCATTTAGACTTATATACCGCTTCACAGTACTTTACAGCCCTCTCTAAGCAGTTTACAGGAGCAGCCAATAATCTGGGTCCTCATTTTACCCACCTCAGAAGGATAGAAGGATGAATCAACCTGGTGAGATTCAAACTGCCAAATTGCAGGCGGCTGACAAGTCAGCAGAAATAGCCTCAGTACTGCACTCTAACCACTGTGCCAACGTGGCTATAGTGCAATAGGAAAGTCTCATCTGACATTGTGGCTCACTCTTAGATCACCCTGAGTTTCTATGGATCATACCGTGGGTTTTTGCTAGAGACCATGATACAGTTATATGCAGGTAGTCCTTGTCTTATGGCCAGGCTTTCTATTGCTAAGCACGGCAGTTAAGTGGTCGCACATGATTTTATGACTTTTTTTTTTTGCCATGGTTGTGAATCCTAGGATTGTTAAGCAAATCCATTCCCTCATTGCGTTTGCTTATTGGAAGCTGGCTGAGAATGGTTGCAAATGCATATTCCATGACTTTGGGACATTACAACCACTGTAAATACATGCCAGTGGCCAAGCATCCAAATTTTGATCAAATAATTGTGGGGATGATGCAGTGGTTGCAAGTGTAAAGACCTGTCATAAGACACTTTTTCAATGTCTTATAACTTTACATGGTCATTAAACAGATGGTTCTAAGTAGAGGACCATCTATAATAAGGTTGTGCATTTGGAAGGCCAGGATGCATTGGTACAAAATACTTGAAGCTGTTGTGACTCAGTATGGCTGCTTTGAGGGTGTACCGAGGTAGTTCTGCATACACTGGCTTGCACTGCTGCTTCACTATACTGGCAGTCCCACCAGAAGTGCTGCATATCTATTCCTAAATGAACTACAAAAGCTTTCAAAGCAAGCAGGCATTACAGAAGATGGTAACTACTTCAAGAATGCTTCACTCATGCCAATAAGCTTTACAAAACAGCTGGCAACTCGAGAGTTTTAAACTTTTAAACATTGCACACAGCCTCCCTAACTACTGTAAGCATCTTTCTTTGGCCTCCAGTGGGGAGGTCTAAAATGTTGGCTTAAACCAAGGGCAGAGAACATGGTGTCTCACCAGGCATCTTGCTACACTTACATTTTAAAAAATACTTGTTGAAGTACAAAACTAACAGGTTGACAAATACAGTCTTTAGCAGGAAATCTTTAGGCCTTATTAAAATTGCACTTGGAATACAAAGTGCTTTGTGGGGGCTAGCTTTTATTCTAGATACTTGTGTTTCCCCCAAAATAAGACCCAGTCTTATATTGGGGGGGGGCTCCAAAATAAGCAATAGGGCTTATTTTGGGGGGCTGTCTTTTTTTTTCATTTGTGGGAGAGCCACTTCTGCTTTCTCATGGCCACAAGGGGGCAGGAGGTTGTGTGGTGCACCAGTGCCATTGCATGGTAAAAAAAAATCAGGCTAGGTCTTATTTTCGGGCTAGGTTTTATTTTAGGGGAACATAGAGAATGGCCTTACTGATTATGGCATCCCTTTTGTGAATAGGCAGATCTCAACAATAGTCTTTTTGTGTGTTATGATCCTCATATGCTCTCAAAATTTCAAAGGTACCTATCTCTTGCTTAAATTATGTCCATATTACTCCTCCCACAGTTATGTTGTACCACAATCTCAAAAACAGAAATTGTAAAGCTATTTACTGAACTTTAGAAAGCAATTTCTGTGTAGTTTAACCAGTGATTTTGTTCTTTCTCCTTTAGGAAAGGTTTCCTGGAATGATTATGGCAATTATTGGAAACTCTTATCTGTTTGTAAATATTATCTAGCAAATAGGTAAGAGCTGAAATTGTTTTTTTAAAAGCTGGCTCTAACTCTTCTATTGTGCAACACATCAACGGGAGCTGACAGCTTCCGGATGCAATTGCCAGACAGCATTTATTTGTTAAAAGAAAAAAGAACTTTCACATCTTGCAACATACTATGGGTGATTTCCTGACAATTTATTTCCAGAAATTATTATGACAGTGAAAAATAGATGGTGAAATGTTTATTTTATTTTTCTATGTTGCTTCAATTTTTTAAACATGATATAAAATTTCACACCAGTAAAATTTCCATCCCAAAGCTTTATACCCATTTCATATGCTCAGATTCCCATTCCTAAATGCATTGGGTTAAATTTGCCAAAAGCCTTTCCTTTCAGTGGCAGATCCTCATTTTTACATAAGAAGCTCTCTCAGTGGAATCAAATATATGCAGGCATAAACCCAGACTTAATAATTTGAGAAACTATCTGCATCCCATTGCACACATAATTTCTTTGCATGGAAAGAAAATCAGGTGTGCAATGGGATGCAGATAGTTTCTCAAATTCTTAAGACTGGGTTTATACATTACTCTGAGCCACAGTTTAGAAACACAGTGCCTGTGTTCACACAGCATGCTAGACCAACATTATGACTCAACAATGCAGGAACTGGCTTGCAAGATACGTATTATTTTGAAATCCAATCTTTATTACTTCATAAGTAGCTCAAGGTGCCATAACACAACTTTCCCTTCCTATCTTCCCCACAAGAAAAGGTGGGTTGGGTTGAGAGTGACTCGCCTGAAGTCACCTCGCCTAAGGTAGGACTAGAACTCAAGACTCTCCTGGTTTCTAGCCTGAAGCCTTCACTAGACCAGAGAGCTCATTTTATGATCACACATTATGGTCATCTCCCTTCTTTTCCTGCCCTTCTCTCAAGCCAGCCGGTTATTCTCATTGGGGTTTAATTTAGAATAATGTGATAAGCCAGCTCCATATTTGTCCTCAGAGCAGCCAGTCTCCATAACTTAGCATAAATCCCATCTCTTTTTTCTGCTGCAATAGTTTTGCACTTGAGAATCACACTGCACACTGGGGGATGTTAATCTAGGAGTCATTTGCTCAAGTACAGGGAGGGTTATTTCTAAGGACATAATTTGCATAGCAATATATTGCACAAAGCTGGTGTAACATATGTGTTTGTGGTTTGACTGTCAGCTTTTTTCTTTCCTAAACAGAGGATGCACTTCTTGTTAGGAGATATGAGAGACACACATTCCCAAGCTGCAGAAGGCTTATTTCTACCCTGGAAGATTATTCTGTAAAGCTTTGCTTTTCCTCAGCAACTTTCTCGAGAAACTTGTTTCAGTGCAGATCACACTATTTGCCTTATTCTGTAGGAGCAACTGGATTTTACCACTATAAAATCTTTTTAAAATCATTTTTATTGAGATTCAAATAAAAATTGCTGGTTTTATGTTGCTCATGTTATTATTTGATTCAGGAACTTACAACTTTATACTGTGGACTACTGATAATTCTGCTGAAGATTAAGGTATAAAATTACCCAAGGATTTAATAGCAGTAAACCTGAAATAGCCATACATATTAATTTCATCCTATTTAATAAGTAGTATCAAGTCCCAGATTGCTTGAATTCCAGTGAACGCACTGAAAGTACTTCTATGGCAATTTATATAAACTAATAATTAAGTATCTAAATGAACAAATGAACAATTGTTCTATTTATTCCATAATCCATTCCATTATTCCTGAAATCCTTGATGGATGACAAATACCTTTCTTTCATGTGTAAAAAGTTCAGGTAGCTTTTTGTGTGAGTAGGCAACAGTAGAATCAAGAAAATTCTGAAGAAAATGATTAGTACGCTGTTACATTGCAAAGGATGAATAGAATAGAATATAGAATAGAATTCTTTATTGGCCAAGTGTGATTGGACATACAAGGAATTTGTCTTGGTGCAAATAACTCAGTATACTTAAAAGAAAAGGTACACCTTTTAGATTAAGCTTGATTCACAGCACTTCATCCACTAGTACCCAGGATTCAGCATTACTTTTGAGAATTTCTGTGCATTATTCTGTTCCTGCTAAGTTGCCATCACAGGGATAACAACCTAATATATTGTACCACCCACAAAATCCTAGAAGGGGGAGAGAGAGAGGGAGGGAGACGGGGAGAGAGAGAGAGAGAGAGAGAGACAGATGGGGGGGGAGGGGAGGGGGGGGGGGGCGAGAGAGAGGGGAGGGGGGGGAGGGAGAGACAGGGGAAGGGAGATGGGGAGAGAGATTTCGAATTGCCGGAAATTGAATATTGTGATAAACCAAGCTACTCAGATAATGCCCAAAACACTGCTCCAAGCGTCGTCATGAATGAAATAGATTCGAATGAAATCTAACGCCTTCAAAACACCCAGTCGGCCCCAGCGGCTCCTCACTGCTTTAGTGCAGATCTTCGGCGTTAAAAGAGGAGGGGGAAAAAAAAGGCCACTCACTACCAGAAGTGGGGTTCGAACCCACGTAGACTCACGTCTATTGGAACTTAAGTCCAACGCCTTAACCACTCGGCCATTCTGGTAACTTAGGAAAAGTAATTCGGAAAGCTTGGGAACACTCTGACATTGAAGTAACATTTCCCGCCGAGCCGACCGAGCCGCAGGAACCGCAACTCCCTCTTCCCAAAGTTCGGCTTCATAAACCCCTCCGACGCGCGCGACCTCCGCTCCCCGACTTCGCTTTTAAGGCGAAGACCTCACCTGCTGGCAAATTGGCCCCGCCTAAAATGAGGAGCAGAGGAGCCAATCCCGTCGCACCTGGAAGCGTCAGCGGGAAAGAAAGGGGAGACTCGCGGGGCGGCGTGTCTCAGTTGCGCCGAGTTTAGAGGGTGGGGAGCTGCATCAGTGGGGATTCCTCTCCTGAGGCAACCGGGGTCCTCCAGCTCCTTTCCCCTCCCTCCCTGCCGGACTAGGGGCATCCTGCCTTGCCCCGCAAGTCCAGACAAAGCATTTCATTCCTGTCTTTTCGCATTAAGCAATAAGGGTGGACTGGACATTAACATTTGAACCACTGTGAGTCCATGTATTTGTCATACGCTAAATAAATAAAAACCAATACGCTCCTGGGCCCCCTAGACCGGATCCTTCCTCCCTCGTATCCATTCTGACAGCAGAGCGTGTTGCGTGTGGGCTAAGGAGAAGTTGCCAGAGGGATCTCGAGGTGGTTGAGGTCAAGCCCAGTTGCTGAAGGTGGTCGCGGTAGTTCTGGCAGGGAAGAACCTGGCACCCTGCTTGCACCCCGTGATCGGCCCCGTCCGGTCGCTCAGTAGGGAATAAGGAGCACGGCCTCAGATTTAAAGTTACCGGACTGGTTGCATGATTTTGGTTTCCGATAAACGCTAAACATTGATTTAGGGTTAAAAACAAAAAAACCAAGAACTTTCATAATCTCATTCTTAACTTTATTTCGGGATTTTATTTATTTTGCTGACGACGGCTTCATTCCAGATGTAACTGCAGTTCTAAGATCCAAGTAACTTGTTTCCTTTTTACATTCCAGTAAAGATGTAGGAAGTTATACGTTTAAGAGACAAAGAACAGAACGAAATTGCAGGGCTTTCTGGCAGAGATTTCTGAAGAACCCCCAGATTTGCAAGTAATAAGTTTGAGTTTCACCAGAGGCTCCCCCCAATGACAAGCATGTAATTAATTTCAGTTATAATTAATAACCCTAAGCACAGATTGCTTTGGAAATAATCTTTCCAGTTTTTTGTTTTTTAAATTTTGGTATAAAAGTGTTCTTTTTTTGATGCTCAGTGATTGGCCTGAAGTTCCACACATGCGGTCTAAGTTCCAGAAGGGTCCCTGTGGTCATTCCATATTTTGCTCCTGACTTAGACTGTGTTGCTATCTTTCATCAAAAGATTCAAAGAGAATTTATAGCCCTGTCATATAAATGAGCCCAAAGCTGTTTTAGGTTCTAATAAGCAGACTTAGTGCTGCAACATTAACTCTCGAGTTCATTTTTGTTAAATAAGGTTATGGAAATAAGATGGCCAAAAGTTTTGTCTGGATTACTAAACATCTTGCCAGTTTATATAGGGCCATAGAAGTCACTTTTATTACCACTGCACTAAAACAAAATAGAAAAAAAAATCTGTTTTGGCTTTTTCAGAATTGTCACAAGTAAAATATTGTAATACATGAACTCTACCGTACTTTTGTTCTTCAGCAATATATAATTTGCAATTATTCTTGGAATTCCATTATTAAAATCACAATTTTCTTGATGAATCTTTTCAGTGAAATAGGTATAGGAGAGCTCCATTTTCTGGCTCTAATATTAACATTTCTTCATACTGTACATTCTGTGAATATGCACAATCCTAATGGTATTGTGCTATTGCCAGCATTTTCCAGCTTTGTCAGAGGTCAAATTCAGTAATCTCAAATCTTTTAACAAAAGTATCAGAGCTGGAAAAGTTTTGAAACTGGATGAGGCAGCCTCTCCAACCTGTACCAAATTTTGGATAAATGACAAAAAGGCCTACCAACTGTTGTTTTTTTTAAAAAAAACCATTTTCAAAGAAAGGTTAAAAATGGAAATTATTGCCTCTGAAGCAGTTGACTTGGGGTTCTTGATTTTCTAAATGTTTAGTGTAAAGTGGTCAGAAATGTGCTTTATGTTCAGAATTGAAGAAAATTATGTTCAAGTTGCAGAAACTTAGTAGTATTTCCTAATGCAGTATTGCTTAACATTACAAGTTTGATCAGTCTGTATGCAGAATTGAGTATTTCAGAATTGTCCACCCTCATAAATACAATTGTCTGTAAAGGAGTCTCAGCTTTTATGTAGAATCCTGAGATTTTACTAATGGTCTTGTTTGTATTTCTCCTGAAACGTGAGGAAACCGGGTTTTCTTTTAAATTGTAAATGCAGTCTAATGCTTTTGTATGTAAAATGTGTGCTGTTGCTCTAAAATCTATTCTACAAATGCCTTCAAGTTATGTATCTAAAAATTGTGCTTACCAGTTCCATGGATAAAGCAGATACATTCCCAGATTACAGTGAAGTACCATATATTTAAAGAAGTGTGTGCTACAGAGTCTTGAAAAGGTTTATTTTTTCTGAAAACAAATGTTCATTTACATGGAACCTTTCATCTTTCTGGGAAAATGTTACTAGACTGCCCTACAAATAGGCAGTTACTGGTGTAATGGGGTCATTGATTTTGAACTTCAGCCAACAGAGGCAACCAGTGCTCAAAAAATAGAAGCATATGCATGACACTTAAACCATATCCAGACAGAACTGACATCTTGTTTTCTTTCTAGGTGTCAAATCTCCAACTGCCTATATCACTTTATTGATCAGCCTTGATCTGCAACATTGGTTTGAAATGGATGAACTTCTAGCAGATTCTGAAAACAAACTACTCAAGGCCCTAGAAGCAAGTTCAACTCAAGATATTTTATCACCTGAAGCAAAGAACATGGTGTCCAGTACTTGCTGTTTAAGGGCAAATCCCAGAGGAATCAAGTTACTGCAGAAGACTCAGGGATGGGTGTGAGGTGTTATTGAAGGCAAGAAGAAAAATGCAGCAACCAGGCAACACTTCAACCACACCCATGCCATTTAAAGCATCCCACAAATAAATACAGCAGCAGTGAGGAAAGGCACCTGAGGTACTAGGGGGTGTTTTTTTTGAAACAAGGAAGACTTAACATCTTTCATGGTACAGACTGGAATGAGGGAAAACTTTAGAAAGGCTTCTTTCACAGTGCCAGGGTTTCAGCTCAGAAAACTCCTTGCCAGTGCTAAGTTGATTTTTTTTTTAGAGAGAAGATACAACTCATGTGAAAAGTAAGTAGTGGGCCCTCTGAGTTCTATGGTTTTACATATCAGAACATTTAAAAAAATCACCTGGTCCTTAGCAGTTCCTAAAATTAAGAAAATACCTCAGATGAACAACACCCTCTTTTGAGTTTTATGGTTTTATGTATCAGGACATAGTAAAAATAATCAACTGGTTCTTAGCAGTTCTTAAAAGTATGTAAATACAACCTCAGATGAACAACACATAACATATAACACCATGTCATCATTTATTTTACAAAAAACCAAAACGGAGAAGCCACATGTGAAAAACTAAGTATACCTTATGATTCAATAGCTTGTAGAACCACCATTCCACCAGCAGTAACACTAAGCAGTTGTTTTCTGTAGGACTATCAGTCTCTCACATTATTGTGAAGGAATTTTGATCCACTCTTCATTACAACATTGCCTCGGTTCATTTGTCTATGCACAGTTCCCTTGAGGTCCTGGCACAGCATTTCAATTGGGTTGAGGTCTGGACTTTGGGCCAGTGAAACACCTTAAATTGTTCTGTTGCATGACCCAATATCAGCCAAGCTTTAGCTGTCAGAAAGATGGCCTCACAATTTGACTCTAAAATACTTTGGTATACACAATATTCATGATTGAGTCAATGATTGCAAGGTGCCCAGGTCCTGTGGCTGCAAAACAAGCCCAAATCATCACACCTCCACAGCCATGCTTGATGGTCAGTATAAGATGCTTGTGCCAATATGCTGCTTGGTTTTTGCCAAATGTGGCACTGTGCATTGTGGCCAAATATGTCCATCTTGGTCTCATCTGCCCAAAGGACAGTGTTCCAGAAGCCTTATGATTTGTTCAGATGCAATTTGGCAAACCTAAGTCATGCTGCCATGTCCTTTTTACAGAGAAGAGGCTTTCTCCTGGCAATCCTTCCAAACCAACCATATCTGTTCAGTCTTTTAAGTTGTACTATCATGAACCTGCTGAAGCCTGTAGAGTCAAAGATGTAACTCTTGGGATTTTTTGCAATTTATCTGAACATTGCACTGTCTGACCTTGGGATGAGTTTGCTGGGACACCTACTCCTGGGAAGATTGGCAACCATCTTGAATGTTTTCCACTTATGAATAATCTTCCTCCCTGTAGAATGATGGACTTTAAATTGTTTGAAAATTGTCTTATAACCCTCCCCAGAACAATGGCAGCAACAATTCCTTCTCTAAGATCATTGCTGATGTATTTCTTCTTTGGCATTCTATTGACACATACCTCAATACTGAAGTCCAGCAAACCCCTAACACTCCAACTTTTATAAAGGTAGCCACACTTGCTGGTGATCATTTGATCTAAGGGCACTCAATTAACAGCACCTGGCTGTTACTTAGCCCTTCACGCCTATTTGGAAGCATTATAAAGGTGTATTTAGCTTTTCCACACATGGCTTCTTCATTTTGTTTTTGTCTTTTTGGTAAAATAGATGACATGGTGTTTAATTTAGTTTACTTTATTGTCATTGCACCTCGTACAACGAAATCAAACACCATCTTCAGTGCACATCATGACCATGAAAATAAACACAACAAACACACATCCTTCACACTCCACACATTGAACCGAAAACCCGCAACAGTGTACTATACAGCAAAATTCAAAAGAGCTACTGCCCTGGGATAGAAGCTGTCTTTCAGTCTATTTGTGCTTGTTTTTAATATTCTGATACCGTCTGCCAGATGGTAATAGTTCAAAAAAAGGGTGCCCAAGATGAGATGGATTTTATGTTTGTTATATGTCATGTGTTATTGATCATATGAGTTGTATTTACATACTTTTAAGAACTGCTAAGGACCAGTTGATGATTTTTATTATGTCCTGATACATAAAACCCCAGAACTCAAAGAGGATATACAGGCAACATTTCTTCTTACTCGCACAAAACAAGTGAATGAAACCACTCCGCCTGCCTGTATAACTGATTTCAAACAGGCCTAATCACCCAATTGTTTTCAGGGTAAACTCCCAATTCTTCTTAACCTTGGATAATATATTTATCTAATTAGTTCCACTGAATCTTGATGAAAAGCAACACCTACAGTAGAGGTATCATTGGAGAGAGTTAGAGAAACTAGGTTCTTTAGGTTTTACCAAATGTTTTTCCCCACCAGGTGTTGAGTAATAAAAGTTCACAGAATCTGTCTATGTATATTTATCTGCCATGAGTAAAGATCTTTCAGATGTGAGATACCTATAAGCAGGAAAAAAAGGAACAAGAATCGATATACATGTATGATAATCTCTCATTAAGAATACTTCAAAATAGGTAAACACTATATTGCTACATTTATAAAAATGGCTTATTAGTAGCTTTGGCAAAACATTAACCTTTCTTTTCTTCTGCTCTTCCCTTCCATTGTTCATTGGTTGGACATAGTCAATAGCAGAAAGTATTCACTGTCCAAATTTCAAGGGGCCACCTTGCCAGCCATTTTAAGATTCATGACCCAAATGCAAAAGGAAGCCCTAATTATACCAAATTCCATTTTTTTTTCAGTCTCAAGAACTAATGTAAAGTGGAAAAATTAGGAAGGGCAAAGTAAACTTCAGTTAGTGTATGTTATTTTTAACACAAAACTCACCTGAAAAAATTTAAAGTGTTAGGTGTGAGGCTGAAGCACCTCAAGTTTTGATACTTAAGAGAAAGGCACAGATGAACCTTTGTGGATATTTCAGGTTTTATTATTTAATTTAGGGTTTTTTTGAAAAAAAAAAAAAAGACAATATCCCCCTCCCCTCAAAACAAACCCAACCACAATAGAATTGCAAAGATAATCTCTCTCCCGCTTTTTTTTTTTTTTAAATTAAAAAAGCCCACCATTATCCCACTAAGGGAGGCCCTGGCCTCCACCTGCTGCAGAAGAAAAGGCTTCCAATAAGGACCAAGCCACAGGGTACACACTGCACCCCAAGACCCAATTTACTTCTGCTGAGCAGCACAGTGTTGTGCTGCCTCATTTCTCCCAACCAGCAAGCACCACTGTTGCCTCTTCTTCCTTACAGGCTAAAGTTGAAAGGTAGGGGGGTAAAATAAAAACAAAACAAGGAGCAAAAACACAAAAGGAAGGCACCTCAAAGTGTGATCCTTAGCCAAGGGCAGCGGCTGTCTTTGCCCCCACCCCAGCCCCACCCACATGTACACCTCGCCTGGGCAGGTTCTTTACGCTTTGCCACTTCTGCATAGCGGCAACAGCTTTTCACTCTCAGGATCTGGTTATGGCAGCTGTGACCAAACGGCCCAGACCAGTTTGGGCTGTTCCCAGTCTCCTCATTTTACAAAAGAATCAATGAACTCCTGGTTTGAGCTGGCACAGAGTGAGGAGCTTTAGGAGTAACACCACTAAACTCCAACTCTGCCTATGTTGAATTATTCGTTATTTTAAAGGCAAGACAATCTGTTTTTAGGTAATGGTTCCTGTACGGTATTTTCATGGATCTGGGGCCCGGTGGAAGAAAGCAGCAGTGGCTAGTGTTACCAAATAGGGGTCTAAAGAATAAAAGGAACAAAAATCAGAACAAAAATTAGATCTCTCTCTACATATATATAATATACATATAAACAGATGTGCATTAAGCCAGAAGTTGCTTTAGAACAGGGAGGCTTCTATCTTGCATCATTGCCCATCCAAGTGCACAATTTGGGAGAAGGTGCTAGGGCTTGCTGTGAAGAATAGACCTGAAAAGGGAAAACTGCATCTACACCAAGTGATCAGCTGGTGATCCTCAAAGAAAAGTTGAACTCTTTGAAGAGACAGCTAATCGCTTTCCTATCTATGTGAACTGAGAGATCCAACAGCTTTGGTTTCCATTTTTTCCCTCTATTCAATACGGTTAGGAAGTCTTCCTTGCCCTAAGGATGCTATACAGGGTTAGGGCAGGAAAGAAAAACAAGAAAGTAACCCCTCTGGTCAAAATGATAGGTCTTCCTGTTCCTTTTCAACCACCTCTGGGCAAACAGAGTGCCTTGGTCTTGCTGCTTGCCATTGCCTCATGAAAGTTGAAAAGGGGGTATAATTGATACAGCACCAGAAAGCTGGAAAAGAGGGCAGGTGTCAATCCACATATTCTCTTCTTTCTCCCCAAACTACTGTATAGTGGTGTGAGCAGGGAAGTGGAAGATGCAGTCCTCCTCTATGCCTATTTTTCCCTAACCATCCAAGGAATCCAGACACCAACTTCAGCTTCATTCAGCTAAGGCAATCCAGCCAATCACCACTGCTGGATTCTGGTTTGGGTGATTGAGTCAAAACAATTGATTAAGACAGACAAGTCAGTGAGAAAAGCACGAGCCAAGAAGTCACATGATCAGCTGCTTCCCTCCACTCTTCGTCCACTACCTCTTCCTGGGAAGAGTCCTGCTGCTTCCAGCTCAGAAGATATCAGGGCACATGTTCCAGTCCTGTTTCTCTTTGCTTTCCCAGTAGCCACCCCTGTATACATGGGACACCTCCTTGGTGTCAGGATCCTTCCTCCGCTCAAACCACAATGCCTTGTAGGGATCGTACGGGGTTCCTGCGCAAGGGAGGCAGCAGAAGAGAAGGGTGAGAATTTTCAGACTGATGAAGAAAGGTGTTAGACAGGCTATTTCTCCTGGGAATGAGACACTAAAACTTCCTTCCTAGGGAATGGCCACAGTTTAAAGGTAATCATACCTCCATACAAATAGCATCTTAGCTAGTGGTACTAGAAAAGACTTTGGCCCAATATGTGAAGAAAGCACCACTAATGGGGAGCACAGAATAGTAGATCAGGTGGACCATTGCCCAGATGTAAATATAAGGTAGCTTCTTAAATTCTTAAAGACTTCCTAAATGGAAGATGGGACACTTCTTACCATCCTCTGTCGCCCTCATAGCTTCAGCTTCACGTTTTTTACGGGAAAGGCGCTGCTTCTCCTCTAAGCGCTGCTTCTCTGCATTGGCCTCATCCCAGCGCCCGTTCTCCATGAGTCTTTGGTCAGGCCGGAGTCTGCTGTCAGTGGGAGCAGTACCACTTTCTGGGGCATTGAGTGTCAAAGCCAACTCTGAGAAATAATACATGTTCTCTGCATTCTTCCTGTACGCAAAAAAAGGATAACAATAATAGAAGTGGCAGCAAAGATCATGGGTAAGGCAGTGGCATATATTCATTTTCTCTCTCCCACCCTTTTCTCCCTCACAGGAGAGCTGTTTTAATTGTGTATTATTGTCACTCTCCACAGAAGTAACAATTCTTGATCCTGGGAAACTAGATGCATCAGTGGCCTATTGCTACTAACAGAAGGGAAACAGCGATCAGTTGTTCACCGATCAACTGAGCAATGAGAAAAGTTCCCCCCAAAGCACCTCAGTTTTAATTGCTTAATGTTTAATGAATCAGTCCATTTTTACCTGGATTTCAAGATCTGTAAGCATGCCTATTCATTGCGTTTGAAATGCTATTTCCATTTATTTTAATGATTTCTTTTGAGTGTTATTTGTTGAATATAGAAAAGAGTAATTACACTGACTATATGGTGGTGTGATTTAAATGCTATCACTATTTCTCCCCACTTCAACCAAAATCAACTGAATCCATAGATCGTCCTCTTCTGTCAGAAGAGAAAGTGTCTTTGCTTCTTCCACAGCTCCCTGCAGGAACCAAGCTCCTTCCATTACTTACGGGAGTGGGTTCCTCTTCCATAACACCACCCTGCTGTCCTCTGTTTCATGTGTTCTTAGACGGCTGTCACCACCATTCTCCAAGCTAGGATTCACCTTGAAGCAGTCAATCTTCTCATCCCAGGTGCCCAACAACATAAAATGCACTTTTCCTGATGGATCCAATACCTCTCCAGTGACCTGTTATCAGGAAAATTGGGCAGAGTTCTACTTTTGCTACTACCTTTTCAATAAAGGTAAACAGAAATCTACATACAGGATAGAATGTGGTTGAACAGTTTCCAGACCACACATAAAGTGAAAAGCGTTCATCCCGACTGCTCTCCAGAATACTGAGCAGCTTTTACATACAAGAAGGATGAGTTAGCCTGGCTGCAGGAGGAGCCCATTACTTCTGGAATAAAGCCCCTCTTGCTATCATAGAGGCTCATCCTTGCCACCCCACTTGACAATAAATAAAGCATAGTATTTCTTACCTTTCTGGCCACATCTCTGGAGAAGTAACTATAAGGAACAAATTTGAGAATACATCTCTCATTCGTTTTATGGTTCAGAATCTCAATTTCACCAGACTGGAAAGCAAAAAAAAAGGGGTGTGTGGGGTGGTGGAAAAGAAAGAGAGAAAATCAAACAGGCTCCATGCTACCTATGAATTTTTTTAAAAACTGTTACATAATTGCTATAGTGGTCCTCAAAAGATGGAGGAACCAGTCTCTAGGCTTTGGCTTCTAGCATTATTCTCCAAACATGCATTTGACAGCAACATCATCTTTTCATTTAAATGTTGCCTTACTGCAACTCACCTGATCTATCCATAATTTGCCCACAATGATGTTGTGTACTGTGGTGGTGACTTTTTTCCATGTATAATGATTGCCAGTTGCATGGAAGATACAATGGATGGTACCTGGAGGTAGGAAGATGATACACTTAAGATAGTTCCACAATGTTGAAGACTTCTTGTTAAGGTTTGATGGGAAATTTGTCATATTCAGTGGATGTAACCATTGCATATGGACATGGAAGACTTTAATTCTTATCCTTTCTTGCTACCTGCTATTCTTTCCATGCATGCATTTAATGGGCCTTTAAAGTCTGCACATATTCTAAATATGTCCAATAAATATATAGCAGATTACTGATCCCTGAATGCTACACTTAATGACCAAAATTCAGTATAGAGGCTTGCCATCTTTCTCACACAGCCGATGTTTAATTAGGAAAAAGCTGGAAACACCAGACCTAGTACTAGTTGGGGAGCAAACATGATAAAATAGCTTTATTAATTGGCTATGCCCTCCTAAAATAGCAGGCCACAAAAGGGATAGTCAGTGACCAGGACTCACCAAGTGGCATGATTGAGAGGTATTTGCCACGGAACTTGCTGGTGATTTTAATCTCCTGCCGAAGGGTCCAACCATGTCTGGAATCAGCATGATGAGCAGCAGCTGGAGGATGGTGGCTCACCTAGCAGATATGACAAATAAGACGAAAAAGGCATATTCAATCCTGGAATGAAGGGTTTAGGGATATGCATCAGAAGAAGAAATGAAAACAGATTCCAGCGATGTATTTACTAAGTCTCAAGGCACTTCATATAAAAGTAAACTCCACTGGTGATATAGATAAGACAGTCAGGCAGACATAATTTACCATATTTATAAGTCACTCCGATCAACTATAATGCTGGGCAATGAATAACTCAGCTGGCATACACAGTTAAATTAAGGCAAAGTTTGTCCAAATTAAAATAAACTATATAAGAGCCCTCAGGACAGAGTAGGGTCCATGTATCTGCTGGAATAACATGGCTTTAACTTGCCTCCCAAATACAAACAGGGAGAAGGCCATCCACATATCCATGGGAAAGGTCAACCAAAGAGTAGGAATCACCACTGAGAAGGCCTATCATCCCCATACTATAAACACTGTAAGTGCCAGAATTGTCCTGGGATCAAGGAACAGAAAAGGAACATGCTCTGCTTTTTACCTGTTCGCAGATGGAACGATAGCCATTTTCTTCTAATCGGTCTAGCTCAAACGTTTCCCCTAAGAGAGGGTTGAATGGCTTGCTAGTGCGGAAGACAGTCGTGGAGTAGGACGATACAGTAAAAGCTGCCACGTAACAGAGCTGCTCCAAGGAATTTTCACATTTGGCAGCCCGGTCCAACAAGTCATGGTATTCCAAGTCTTCTGTGAGACGCTGCAGCATGGATAATGGCTCGTTGAAATTAACCTGGAGGCAGAAGAAACAAGTGCTAGGCAGAAAATCCTTTCTAGGATTTGATATTAAGCATGCCCCAATTTGTGCCAAGATCAAAATCAAACTGTCTATTGCAGAATGAACTTTGAACAATAATGCTTCTTGGGACTACTTGGCTTTCTACCCTTTTCCACACAGCATGGGGTTTTACACACAAACCAAATTACAGCCTGAACCTATGGAGCATCATGAAGAATTGCATTGGCAAGGAGCTCTCCAAGATCCCCATGCCGGTGAGTGGCTTTAATCTGGTTTGTGTGGAATCCGAGTTCTCTTCTCCTTCTTAGTATCCTCTCCCTGATGTTTGTACTTCGGGAAAAAAAGAAGACAATTGTAGATATAGTCTTATGGGGAAGGGATAACATGCATATTAATTCCTGAGCAAACTCCCTAAGACTATAATTTCCATTTCACTTTGCTAGAAAGCTTAGAAGTAAAGTTACTCTAATATCAAACACTCACATCTAATATATAAAAATGAAGACAACTATCCCAATAATGCTGCCTCTGGAGCAGTAAAATCTGCATTACAAATCACAAAAATATGGGATGGGTTAAGTTGTGGTAAGATTACTCATTTTTTTTTAATCTTCAATAAGCTATATCTCAAGTTATGGTTTAAATTCTTTCAATCTTATATTCGAATGAGTAACCTAGATCAGAGACAGGCAATATGATGCCTCATGATACTTTGGATTACAATTCCTGTAATTATTGCCACTAATCATTATAACTTAAACTGATGGGATTTGAGAGTCAAGACACTTGGAAGCTGTTAAAGGTCCTTAGCCCTAATCTAGACCTTCAACCACAGTTAAATCTTGATCATCCAAAAGAATCTAATAAAAAGTCACATCCCATTTCCTCCTCTCAAATCAAAAAAGCAAACTACCTGCTCATCAAGACTGATGTCACTGCTGGCACCACTTATGTTGCTGCCTGTTCGTCTAAAGGAGTTAGAAAGACACACCATAAGGAACAAGGAATTAGGATGCTCCAGCTGAGAAGTTCTCCTGGCCAAAACAAACTGTTCAAAAGGCAATGCAACAAAACATTGGCAGAGCTACATTATGCTACTTATTTTGCCAGAGTAGGAAATCATTAAGAACACGGTCAAATAGGAAACATTTATGATACTTGTTGGCAACTAGGGCTAAAAAAATTTAAAGTCAGAAGGGAATATATAAGCACTGTACAATTCCAAATAACTATTTTGATATAGCACTATTATTTAGGAATTCGTTAAATCTTCCAAGTTTTACTTCCCTCACTTATTTATCATCTAAAATGTTTTATCAGCATAACAAAAATGGAGAAACAGTAGTAAAAACAACTGAACGTAATTCAAAAATGTGTATCAGCTAATACAAAGTGAATCAGCAAAAGTCACAAACACCTAAAACATTAACATTAGCATCCAAACATTTAATTCTTGCTGCAGACAGAATTGAAACATGACATCATTTAAGCTAATAAGGGCCTGGGAGAATTTAAATTTAGCTAGAGCAAAAACATAGCAAGCTTCTTGGAGAAAAAAGAACATTCCACGACTGGGTGGCCTCATCCGAGATGACTCTCTCTTGCAGAGCTACATCCTGAGCTTCTGACTGAAGGAAGACTCAAAAAGAGGCCTCTGACGGACATAATACACTAAACACTAGTTATCTAATCCAAGGAATGTTGCAGGTCAGTTACAGGCCTGAACAACTGAGTGGTGATGATGTAAACACTACTGATCATAACTTGTCTGGATGGAGAAACCATCTACTATTGCTGCTTATGAATTGAGTTTCAATTTATTATCTTGCTATCATTAGTGATTGGTTCCCATACCCAATATGCATCTTCCCATCTCTGGATTATCTGTTCTGTTATTTCACATAGATAGTGATCTACATCAGCGGTCGGCAACTGGTGGGCCGTGAGAAAATTTTGGTGGGCCACAGAGAAATCTCACCCCCAGAGCACCCCCCCCCAAAAGCAATTAATCCAGGCTGCGCAGAAACACAAGGCTGTGCCGCCCAGATGGCCTGCGGGAACCCTCCCCGCCCACTCACTCCTTACTGGGTAAACTTGCCTGCTAAATTGCTATTTTTCCTTTTTCTGACCATCATCTCTTCTGCTGTGCTGGGAGATTTAGACTAGATTAGATTAGATTAGATTAGATTAGATTAGATTAGATTAGGAAACAGGAAATGGTTGGATTTCTCGCTTTCTCGCTAGTCTTTAGATCTTCAGCTCAGCACAGCTGAACCTCCCTTAGGACTGAAGGTTTGCTTGCAAGCAAATTCAGTGCAGACTCACAACAAGCAAATTTGAGAGACTGAGCTAGCCAATGGCAGATAGATAGATCACTGAATGATTCTATGAGCAACTCAATCTGCCTGCTTTGCCTGATTTTGGGTAAAAGTTGCTCTTTTTTATAAAAATATTCAATATTTATATAAATATTTATATTTACATACAAGCCATGCCCAGCCAGTCACATGACCACCAAGCCACACCCACAAATTAGGCCATGCCCACAGAACCGGTTAGTGGTCCCTGAGATCTAAAATTATGAGTTTGGTGGTCCCTGAGGTCCAAAAGGTTGGCGACCCTTGATCTACATGACAAGTAAAGCAGAATTCTATGGGGCATCACAGAGCTGAGACAGCCCCATCGTTTTATAGTCACCAGGGAAATGTGGGGTCACGGCAATAGCAATAGCACTTAGACTTATATGCTGCTTCACAGCCCTCTCTAAGCGGTTTACAGAGTCAGCATATTGTCCCCAACAATCTGGGTCCTCATTTTACCCACCTCGGAAGGACGGAAGGCTGAGTCAACCTTGAGCCTGGTGGGATTCAATCTGCCAAATTGCAGTAGAACTAACTTGCAGTACTGCACTCTAACCACTGCGCCACCAAGGCTCTATATAATGAAATGCTATATAGATAGTTCTCACTTGATGACCACACTTACAACAGCACTGAAAATGTTACTTATGACCATTTTTCACACTTATGACCACTGCAGCATCCCCATGGTCACATGATTTTCATTTAGATGCTTGACAACCGACTGAGATTTATGACAGTTGCGGAGTCACGTGATTACCTTTTGCAACCTTCTGACAAACAAAATCAATGGGAAAGCCAGATTCACTTAACAACCGTGTTACTAATTTAACAACTGCACTGATTCACTTAACAAATGTGGCAAGAAAAATCGTAAAATGGGGCAAAACTCACTTAACAAGTTTCTCACTTAGCAACATAAATTTTGGGTTCAATTATGATCGTAAGTTGAGGACTACCTGTATTGTCTTTCTCTCTCTCTTACAAAGATATTTGTATGGGGAACCTGTTTTATGCATTGCGTTTTGTTCTCAGTGTTCTGTGGTTGCTCACTTTGATGAGGGTCACGAGATAAGGGAAATGTTTCCATGGATCTGGCATTTAAAATACCAAAGGCTGAAGGGCTGGAGCAGGAGATCACTCACTTGTGCCCCATGCTTTCGGGCATGGTGATAATCTCGGGAGCATCGAAGAACTCATTATCATCATCTTCATCACTCATATCCCCCTTTGACGAGCAACATTGATCTATAAAAAATGACATATCAACGTCACTTTTTATGAATGTAATTATCTGGGATTCTAGAACTTCAGTGGAGGATGTATGACAAGAGACAGGCTGGAAGAACAGTTTGGCTTTTACCTTTCGAGGAATCCATGTTGCCAGGTGCGTTGGCAGGTAGGACTGTCGCTCCACGGAAAGCTCTTTCCAGGTGATTGTGCTGCTTAGCCAGCTGCTCTAGGGTCTCCTCCAACCGGATACGCTGGTCGCGCTCATACTGTAACGACTTCTGCCATTTCTTGCTATGTGTCTGGGCCAGCATTAGGAAGTCTCGACAAGCCTGAATGGAAGAAGATATGGAAAATCATTATGCTGCTTTCAATATCATCCTCCTAAGGTGAAAACTATATGAAATTTTGCATTCTGGCATCAATTCATTTTTTTGCATTAACCTCTAAAGGGTTAATTGTTTTCTCTGCTTCATAATAGAGCTACTACAGGTTAAACTACACTAAAATGCCTGTTATTATTATGCTGCCAACAATGACCCCTTGTGGGGCAACACTAACTATAGAAGAGCTTCCTTCTTTCCATTAGAATTTATTGGATCCAATAGATATTTAATAATTTCCCAATGATTTCAAAAACACTTGAACAGTTACACTCAAATAGGCACAGTTAGAAACATTTGGTTACCAAAATTCCAATCAAAATATTTCATATGGCCCCAAGATCATTAATCACAAGAACATGAAGACTAACATCGACAGGAAGGGACAAAGAAGTAAAAAGGAGAGCCCACCAGATAATATTCTACATACAGAAACTTTAACAGACAATTTTTATCATACAGCTTAGAAAAGTCTTTTAATTTTAGTACTCCTGAATGTGAAATACCTAGATTTAAAATTAAAAAACAAACAAACACTGGAACATTTGTCTATTTAGAAAAAGGATTCTGGATATCTGAGAATGGAGTTGCCAATGTACACAATTTTAAATATCTAGAGTCTATAATAAAGTTGTATACAATAATGCTAGGTATGGAGAAAAAGGATAGAAACAGTATTTTTTGCACACCCATGATACTAAAATTATGTGATCATGCGTAATTCAAGACAGATAAAGGCAGCGCTTCTTCATACAGTATACATTTAAATGATGAAATTCACTACCATAAAAACTATGACGACAACCAAAGTGGGTAGATTTAAAAGAGAATTAGACAAACCCAGAGAACTTGGTTCTTAAAGGTTGATATATGCCGCTACTATATTTATGTCGGGAGCATTGAAGCGCTTCTGGGTTGAAACGACTGAATGGTGACACTACTATGGCCTGGGGGATGCCCAGTTGGGAGCTCCTTTCATGCCCCCCAAGTGTGTTGGACTGGACCCATCTATCCATTTGTGGTTGCCTGTTTTCAAACTGTTGGGTCAAGAGGAACTGGAATGTCTAACTGGAGCTCAACCAGTCCTGCAGCAACAATCATGTCTTGAACGTGACACTGCCAAATATCAGCCCAGCGTCCTAACCTCATGAGCCACCATGCTCCTTTTAGGTTGATGTATGATATGGTAGCTACACATTATCTAGACCAGTTTAATCTAGTGGTTAATGCACTACACTAGAAAGTGGGAGACTGAGTTCTAATCCCACCATAGGAATTAAATTCAGCTGGGTGATTCTGGGACAATCATTCTCTCTCAGCTCAACCCATTTCACAGGGTGGTTGTTATTGTAGGGAAAATAGGAAGGAAGGAAGTATATTAGGCATTTCTGCGTCCCCACCCCCTTGACTTATTTATAAAAACAATAAAGACGAAATATATACAAACAATGAGGCAGTAAGCATCATAATTCCAGGTGGAGTGGAAGGACGGGGGTGGAGAAATGAAGGAAAGGACTACTGAGCTCATATCTTGCTTGTAGGCTTTTCTCACAGAAATCTGACTATTAGAGCAACAGGACTCTGGATGAGTGACCCAGCAACACTCAATCTTAAAAAATCCCAGTTATACAAACATACATGGATGCCTTATTAATTTCTGTGAAAAGATGTAGCTTCCAAGATCAACAGTTCTCACCTTTTTATCTTCACATTTGGAATCCACTTTGAGATTTTTCAGCATATCTGAGGCCAACTACAACATTCCTAAAGGGCTCATTTTCACTGAAGCTATTTTTTTATGCATAAAACCATTTTGAAGTGAAAACACCCATTGTAAGAATATTGTGATGTCATTCTTTCTTCAAAGATCAGAATTCCAGTCCAACACACTTGGTAGCCACAGGCAACAAGGAATTCCATACAGGCCCATCAATGGCCTTGCAGAAGAGATATGTATGCATATCACTCAGTCCATCTGCCTTGAAGATGAGAGTAGGGAATGCCTTTGATCTCCTCAATGAAATCACAGCTGATTACAACTAATTGTGTGCCATCAAGTTGTTGTAAGCTTTTTAACAATTTTCTCCATGATGACCTATCCCTAACCTAGTATTTCAGCATTTCCAATTGTGCGCTCATCACTATTGTAATTATCTTCTTAATCGGAAAAGTAAATAATTATGCAAGCGGGTAAGATTTTTTTTATTTCTGTGCTATGCTTTCAACAACAGGAGGTTAGCCTAGAATATTTAATTATGGCAACTTCTACTGACTAAAAATACCAAAGATTGTACCTATTTGATCAAGAAGAGAACTCAGCTGTTTAAGATTTTTTTAAATCATAGGTTCCTTTATTCAGATATATAAATCAGAATTTGGTTTTATAGGCATATATTCAACCTCCCACTTCTAAATGCATCTCCTTTGCACAAATGTTTTTCTCAAGGTAGTTTTTCAAAGCACTAAGGAGTGCTGAGGTTACTAACTTAGCTGGAATCATAAAACTGCTTTTCAGACATTAATGGGGGTTTGTTTAGCTTAACTTGTTATTTATATTTCCTTTAAGATAAGAGAGATTGCTGCACGATGAACCCAGCACAGAAATGTATCCCAGTGTGTTCAGTGAAGACAAGCTTCTCCAAGATTCTGTTGACTCTGCCATTTCTTAACCTCCCCATCCTCCTTCAATTTTCATGCCTTCATCTGATGGCAACAACCAACAAAGAGTGCAATTGTGCTTTGAACCCTAATGATAAAGGTCACCAGATCTCAACATTGTGATGTAAATCTTATCCTATTTTTTCAGAAGATCCTTTTCCCCATATTAGTTTACTAATCTCTTCTGTTTCTTCCCAGTATCAAAAAACCTGATTTTTTTTCTGATTGGAAATTGATTTTAATGCCATTTTCAATTGGCTATGGGATGGCCCCTCTGAACAGCAAGCTGATGGCTATTACAGGGAAATAGTACTGTGTGTGTACACCAACACTCCATCACCCCACTCCCCAGCTTTTAGCAATCTACCTAAAGCTGAGACAACTAAACCCCCAAAAGTTTAATAAAAAGAAAATGTCACTATGGTGCTCTAACCTGAATATAAGATCATTAACTAGCCGGAGTATTTATTTGAGCATACCTGATTGTTTTTCTCTTTGCTGCCAGGCAAGATGGGGGAGGGGGGGAGAGGAGGAGGAAACACTTACATTAATCATGGCATTGGAAGTGATGCGGAAAAGTGTGGCGCGCTCATTGATTTGCTTGATCTTCTCATTGCTCTCAGCTGGCAGCTTCAGAGTCTCCAGTTCACTGAGTGAGCGCTGCAGAGCTGTTCCATGTTTGGCAATCAGATCATTACATGTGCTGAGATCCTCCACCTTGCTGGAGAGAGTGCGCAAAGTATTCTGTAGTTCTGTCTTGTCCGTTTGGGATACAGATTCTTCATCGCCTGACTCATCTGTGAGGAATAAGCTGAAAATGTAGTACCACAGGAGCCTATTTCTAAACCAGGCACATCTTCATTTCTCTTGTCTTTCCAAGAACTTGTGGAGGTGGCCTCATAACAAAAGGGGACAAACTTTCCAACCAACTCTGTACAGATACTTAATATGATAGGGAAAAATATACCTTACCCACATAAGCAAAATAATGTCTATACCCTCAATAAACAAGCAAAGCAAATAAGAAGCAATGACAGACCAGTAAAACAATAATAACACAAAGGTAGCAACCATAAAGACAAAGGTGTTCAAAAAGCAGAGGACCAAGAAGCTCTACGCTGCAAAGGAGCAACGATCCTTGATTATAGAAACACCTCTGAATATCAAATGCTGGACATAAGTTCTAGATAAAGAATACTACTTCTCTGCTCTAGTTATGACTTCAAGAGCATATGGCCAGAGTCTGTTCAAAGACAGAAGGGTGGATTAGTTGGACCTTTGATTGTTTTTCTTAAGCTCTTTTTTTAAAAAACAAACACACCCCAGATCTCTCTAAAAAAAGTTGCATCACTCTTCTTCATCCTTCTCCACAAAGAGTGAGTCACAAACCAGAATGACAGTGAACTGTGAGCACAAATATTTAAGAGTAAAACACAGACACAGCGTGAAAATCAATAATATAGTACTGTGTTTGGCAAGATTTAAAATACTGTATATTACTCTCAAACCAAGGTAATGGTCGTAAGAATTTGGAAGGTCAAGGAGTTCCAGGACAAACCAACTTGCAATCTACTACATTTTAAAATTAAGTACAATAATCTGTATGATTAATGGTCCTATTATTGCCTTTACCTTAGACCACATGGAAAAATAAATAGTGGACTGAAAATTCAAGAGCTAAAGCAAAGCTAATATTGGCAACCTTCAAGGTGAATTCAAAAGATATTACTGGACAGATGGCATTTTGCTTTGAAAGCACTGAAAATGTTGTTCCAGGAAAATCTGCCAAATACCTTCTTAGTTTCCAGAGCCAAATTCGTAATACTCCATGAAAATGAAAAAAAAGGCCACCATACAGGAGCTAGTGGCACATTTTTCATGTGTTTTCCCTTTCACAAACAGTAAATAAGTACAAAATTACAAAACTAAAGACACGTCAGCAAAGTATGCACCTAGTGCATACCAAGCAAGGAACAAAAGTATTTTCAGAAATAGCAACATTTATATCAAGCACAGTCATATAAGAAACTGAGGGTCTAAACCACAACTTCTTAATCACAAAGGTTTCTTCTATACTGGAGTAACCATATGATACGGACTTTTGGGTATTTTACCTAATCAGGTATAAAGGACTCGAGGCATTAGATGAGCCAAAGAGTCAATTTGATGGTATCAATAGAAAATAAGTCTAACTGGTCCTGGGAAATCTGATGCTTAAAAATAGAAACCTCAATTTTGAAAAGTATATTATATTCATAATTCAATGTGGCCAATGGCCTCAGTATGCCCTACACACAATTCAGAGGGCATTGAGCAATTTAACTGAATAATAAACATTTGGTGTTTGGCAGAAATTCTTGCTTCAGGGAGCTGGACGTCTGAACAGGACAAACTGGAAGAACATTCATAATTCCCAGCTGAGAATAAAATGAGAGATACTATCTACAAATATTTTCTTAGTCACATATACACACTATATACATGACAGCCATATACAAGATGTACATGATATATCTTTCTATGCATCCATCTACCCATCCTTGAAACCACAGGAGAAATTGGATATTAAAAATAATGGAGTAGGATGAAAAGGATTTGATCAACCTCAGTTACTTTCCATTGGCAAGAGTCATAAATCATGCAAGTTCAGAGCTACTCACTGCCCTGTTTTTCACATTACTTCTCTCAGATGTTTCCTCCACAATAAGCCGTTTAATATTTCTGCCCCTCCTCCACATCCTGCTCTATCTCTGTTGCTCTTATCTTGTCTTTTACCTGATTCTGCCAGCATTTTAACTGCTTTGGCTTTGGCCAGCTCCAGGGCTGTGACCCAGCGCTGCCGCTCAACCTCTGAGCTGGCCTTCAAGTGGTAGGTCTGTGCCCCTCCATTGGAAATAATGAAATTACAGGAGTCCTCCACAGTGATGTTTGCTGTGGCCAAGTTGATGGTTCCACGGCAGGTGTGTCGCATCTCTGCTTTGGATCTGTGGGCAAGGCACATAGAAAGCACAGGACAATGAAGCAGTAAAAGTATCAGCAGTTTAGTCTGAGATTAAAAAAAAGAGAGAGAGGAAAAGCTATCTTGTTTCCTTTACTATTAACAACAAGCTAGAAACACCATTAAGCTGTATTTAACTGATGTCACTCAATTAATGGAAGGCTCTGTGATCTGGCAGATATTTTTGTTGGCAAGAAAGGTGAGGGAGACAATTTTATGCCCATCCATTCTGAAATCACAACACATTATTTCCCATCCTTTTCTGAAAGTCACCAAATCAACAAGACTAACTGGGTAGGATAATGGTGAGAGGCTGCAAGACAAGAAGAGATCATGAAAATTAATCTCCCTCTATACTCAAATTAATGGATGCTCTCATTGAAAAAGCCACTCCATGATACCAACAGAACCCCAGCCATTTCCCTTATATATATAAAATAAGTAGCTAATCTTTCGTGGGGCAGGTCATATTTATCACTGGAATATTTCAGGTCATAGCAAGTGGGCGGTTTCAAAGTAAATGGAACTAGGATCCCTGGCCAGCGAGTTATATATTTTTAAAACTGTGTTGCTTTAGGCTTACATGATAGGTTTTTTAAAAATTCATTTCTATTTCAATTCTGCGATCAATGGGAGGAGGCTCTATGGAATACAGGGGAGGGGGAGATAAGGGGGGGGGAGATGAGAGGGGAAGGGGAGAGACAGGCTGCCTGATGCCCTGGGGCAGTAAGTAATCTGCTACTGTTCCCCCCACAAGGAAGAAGTCTAGGGATTTCAGTGATTATAAATTGCTTAAGAATAACTACCAGATGTGATGTTCACAGAACCAAAGAAATGAGCTACCAATAAAAAAATGGGCTTCTAGTACATAAAGCAATGAGACTAGAAGCAGAATGCTAAAGCAGTTTTGCATATGAATAGACACGGTTTAAATTATATGATTAGAAGAAAAGTGGAATTAATCTGAGCTTCCAATTATTAAGTATGATCATGTTAATACCAGCTATATTTCTTCCCTTCAGTATGTACATCTGGCTCTCTGATTTTCTAAGCATTCCTCCAATTAATTATTTGTACAGCAACTGTTTTGTGGGGTCGATCAGTACTATTCACATTTTTCAAATCCACAGCTGGGAATAAAATCTGGTTTAAGACATTATGAATGTATGGCAGCAACAATTCAAATTTAAAGTAGTGTAGATTCTCTAGCTATCAAGTGAAACGGAGAACAATTCTCTTTTGTTTCATAGTTCTAACAAAGGTATTGACTAGTTACACATTTTAGAATTTTCTCTCTCATGGACAAACATGATTAAATTTGTTTAATACATTCCTGAACAGTAACCCTATAGGCAGTAATTATATGACACTAATATGACCGTACCCACCTAGTTCAAGTATCCCTTACTCAAAAAGAAAAAAACCACTCTTCCACAGATATATTCTGTCCACAGAAAAACAATGAGTCACATCATACCCTGCCAGACAGTGTGAAATGGTACTGACTAGAAATAATGTGTTAATAGACACTTCATTTCTTTGATCATACTAGCTATATCCCCAAATTTCAGTAGCGTGCTGCTCAGTGCCTCCAAAATTATGCAACCAGAATGAAGCATCTCATCTGTCTAATGCAGGCTTTCTCAAAATGGTGCGTTTCAGAAATGTTGGCATTCTAATTTCCAAAATTTCTGGCCACTCTTTCTGTGGCTATAATCCCTGCCCATTTTGGGAGGTATAATCCCAATTCGCTGGAAGAAAACAGGTTGGGAAAGGCTGGGCTAATTGCACCATAATTACACCTAGTGTAAGAACTCCGGCCAAATAACAGTGAGAATTATGATTTATGTAGGTTCAAATCCAGAATTATTTACAAGCTAGTGTTAAGCTTCCAAGAAAACCAAAGTGGAGGTGCACGCAGTGCAGGAGCATCAATTTTTTTCTACTGACCTGCAACAAGTTTGGTCTATAAATTCAGTACTGAATTTTGTGTGCATACCCAATTTAATACAAATGTATATGTATAGATGTTATTTGTGCTTCCATTTGAGCAGTTATATCACAAGCATCATTTGTCAAAATGTGCAAAACGGTACAGTATTTAGTTAAAACATCTTTGGAGGTCTAGTTATGAATTGACTTCAGGGGAAACAAAGGTGGATTTAAGATGCCTCTGCTTTTTGCAGAGGCAAGGACCATGACAGAACAAGGAGCTTGCAAATAGATTAGGGCCTCAAAATTCTTGCCTGGATAAAAGGGAGAAATTGAAAATGCATACAGATGTTCCTTGAAACCATAAAACAGCGGTTTCCAGAGGGTTTTAGACCTTTGAGAGCTGGGAGAGCCAGCTTTGCACAAGCCTTGGTGCAAAGAGACATTGGATTTGCCCACAGTTGGCCATTTCTGAAAATGGCTTGTTAACCCCCTTTTAGAAAGAAGTTATTTCACAGATTAATTTTTTTCTAGAAAATATATTGGTCGTGTTTCTGTTCTTTAAATTGTATACTAACAGAAAATAACAGGGAGAAAACAAGAATTAAGTACTGCATACTTTATGATAGCAAAAAAATATCGCAAATGTGGGGGGGGGGGGAATTCTTCATCAAAGTTAGAACAGTCTAAATAACATAGTCTCACTGTGTATTTCAAATAGTATTTTATAGCTGGGAATTTCAACTAGAGATCTAGTTGATTTAGTAGATTTAGAAGATGGGACTGCAAATGCTAGTTTATATACTTAATTTTGGATTTTTATTTTTTTATTATTTTTTTGTTAAATATATGGATTTAAATGATAATAGTGAGAGATGAGTACATATTATAACAATCTTTTTAATAGTGGATAAAAGTATTTTTTTCCTTTTAGCTTTTTTTCTTTTTGCATACAGCATAAAACACTCACAAAAAATGCTCAGGGTCTTTCCTAGCACAGAAAATTGTCCCAAGATTCCCTTAAAGAACAAAAGAAAAACCCAGCAGCCATTACATTCTTCAAATGTTTACTGTGATACACATCAGTCACAAAACCCAGGAATGAGGAAATTTTAAATATTTGGGGGGAGGGGTGGAAAGCAGTGTGAGCAGATGGGAATTCCCAGCTCCAGACTAAAGGAAAAAGGGTATGAGTATTTGTTGTGGCATCCAAGGGTACTGGTGATATCAGGATTAAGCATATGTTATTTACGTGGAATCTCTGGAATGGAAATCAGTAACATATCCTAGTTAGAAATACATTTGTGTGTGCATGTGTGTGTGTGTGTGTGTGTGCAGATATGAAGGGATTACCTAATAATTATTAAAGATGAAATCCAACACAATAAGGAGGGACTAATTTGGGAAAATCTAGTCCAACATATATGATGAGCCTACCTCTATGTGTATATACACACCGTTCCCCCAACCCCTGGGATATCTCCTTTGACAACAAGAGCTAATCAGCATTTCATCAATGAGACCACAATATTTGTAAGAGAGGCTTTGTTTGTCAACCATACCACAATTCCTTCCTTTCTTTCAATTCTCTCAAAACTGGCTGTAGATATTGCTGTGCTCCCAAGGTTTGCAGAAATAACCAACCACACATACCTTTGGACATTCACCCAACTCCTCCCCGCTCCAGCCTAAACAGAGAACAAAGTCCTCTTATATTGATTGACCTGGTACCAGACAGAGACATCTCTTTCCCACTGAGAAGCTGAGGAACGGAGTCTGGAATATTTCTAACCTACTTGGAAGGAAGGACACAGAAACTGCCAACAAGTATCACTACAAATGCCACTGGCTTTCTACCTCCCCATCCCGAGTCTAGGGAAAGTAAAAAGGCAGGCCTCCTTCTCAGCAACTTCAGACCACCAGAGAAATATGACCTCCTGTTGCCAGCTCTTCTTATCCACCTGAGTCTGGTTGCTTTATGAATAATAAAGAGCTTCTGGTTAACAAGCAAGCGATGTTTGATGATGGCACTTTCTAATCATGTTTCTTTTTTCTACAGGGAGTCCTTGACTTACGACCAGTGGCATGGCAACCATTTAAAGTTACGACACTCCCCCCCCCCCAAAAAAAACCTAGTGATGACTTGATTTTGAAGTTACAATAACTGTATTCACCCAATGATCAAGGGGTTGCATTTTGCGCTTTTGGCAACAGGCTTACTTTTACAGTTGTTTGCAGTGTCCTGCAGTCCTTTGACTGCGATTTTTGATGATGATGATTAATAATAATATTTTGGTCAGTTCTCTGGGTTTACTTCTAGTTTCTGGCAAAAGAATCCCACCCATTGAGCATAAGGGATTTACTTAAGAGCCATGGCATTCGCTTCATGATCACCACAAAAATGCCAAAAAATTGGGTCTGGTCACATGATGTCTCAACTTATGACAATTCTGGGCTCAGTTATGGTTATAAGTTAAGGACTACCTGTACTGAAGCTACACATAATAGGAATTTACATGAGGATACTAAGAGCTTACTGAAAAATAAATCCTGGAAGAAGGTACTCTTATGTTAATTTCATACTGCTGCCAAGCAAGCTACATGACTATTTTCATGAAATCATCAGAAGATACAATCAGACACACCGTGGAGTTCAATGATGAAAAAGTAGAACCACTAGCAAGCCTAAATTTGATTTGGGAACAGAAAGAATCTGCTGAATATCAAAAATACAAGTGTAAAGATGTTTGTATAACCTAGATCCATAATTCCAAATACAGGTTGGCCTCAACTTACAATCATTCATTTAGTGACTATTCAAAGTTACAGCAATACTGAAAAAAGTGACCTATAACCATTTTTCACATGATCATTGCAGCATCGCCATGGTCAAGGGATCAAAATCCAGGCATTTGACGACTGGCATATATTTATGACAGTTACGCTATACTGGCCTAATGGCTGAAGCACCAGGCTAGAAACTAGAAGACTATGAGTTCAAGTCCCACTTTAGCCATGAAAGCCAGCTGGGTGACCCGGGGCCAGTCACTCTCTCAACCCACCCCATCCCACCGGGTTGTCATGGGGAAAAGAGGAGAAGGAAGATGTGTTTGGATATGTTCCCCACCTTGAGTTGTTTGTAAAAATAATAAAGATAGGGTACAAATTAAATAAAAATACATAAACCTGTAATCTTCTCAATTAGCTTCTGACAAGCAAAGTCAATGAGGCAAGCCAGATTTGCTTAACAACTGCATGATCCATTTAACAACTGCAGTGATTCACTTAACAATTGTGGCCAAAAAAAGGTTTTAAAATGGGGCACAACTCAGTTAACTGTCTTGCTTAGCAATGGAAATGTTGGGCTCCATTGTGATAGTAAATCTAGGACAGCCTGTCCTAATCTGCCCTAATGACATATTTAAATTGAGAGATTAGGTTTTCCTTTGATGCCCCTCTTTCCATGCAAGATCACTCATGTGAAATCTTGCTGCACAATTCTATAAGTATCTACTCAGATTTAAATCTCACTGATGTAAGTTTGCAGATTTATGTTGTTTCTCTGCAGATTAATTTAGAAGCAATTCCCACTGTATCATGTGAATTTATTTACAAATAAGATTGTATATAGCCAGGCTTTACAAATTTTCAGGAATGTCCATAACCAGGTTCTTACATTCATGGAAATGTTTCTATTTGAGATGTATAAGGAATAATATCCCTGCCATTTCATTAGTAGTGTCATAAGCATTTATAACTGAAAACTGAACCTGTTGCACAGCTCAGATAGCTGGAGGCACTTTAAACAGTACAGCATTATCTACTGAGCTCAGGAGACACTTGTGTTTTAATTTATCTCCTGGAAAATGGTACCTTAAATATATTTAGAAGGACATTTACAATATGCAGCATGGTTAACATACTCTGTATATAATCTCAAGTATTGATCATAAAGTCATAATTTTGTTTGTTGAAGAGACAAACGAGCTTAAGTTCAAATGCTTACCATATAATTATGGTAAGAATTAACCGACCAGCTTCTATCAAATACAGATTTCCTTTAAACCATGTCATTTTTAAAGAGAAAAAAATGTTCCAAGACCAATAATTTTCTCCTCACAAAAAAACCCTATTATTTTTTTTAATCCCATTTCTATTCTGAATTTCAGTTTTCTCAGATCAATTTTCAGTTGCGTGGCTTAAGACTATCACACATCAACAGCCCAACAACAGAGTGACAACAAATTCAATGTTTATGATAGAATAGATGAGGGGCAGATGATCCCATCCTTTCATTTCAGACTGCCTCTGAAGGTTTTCATCTATACTACAATGCCTGATTTATAAAGTGTTTTTAAAACAGAGTTCTGTGCTTGGCAATGGAGAAAAGAATTGCTAACCACTTGGCAGCTAATAAAATATACTATATTATTATTTACAGATCAGTAATTTTATGAGTCTAGTTAGCAGGCTGATTTATTATTTCAAATGTCTTCATGCATTAAACCCCAAATAAAAGTGATGATGCACAAGACTGGGTTCCAAATGGAACATCACACATAATTCAATGGAAGAGATACTTCAAGTGGTAATTACTCTGCATTTTGAAACAGCAACTAGTAGCAACTTTTCTCTTGTACAGCAATAAAACTGCTAGGTAAACTCAGGACAAAAAGGAAAACTAGTCCTTTCAAAGGAAAACAAATTCTTTAAGCAAACCATAATAACATTTATCAATACACAAATAAATTTTCTAACTTCAGAAATGCTCTTTTGATTTATTGCAATAATCTCCTGTTTGATCATTTAATATAGGAGCAAAGCCAATGTCAAAATGCTCCACCATATCCAATGCCTTTTCCTTGTAGTTCTGTAGGGCACAGAATAAGATGGATGCATTTGAAATTCTCCATCTATTTTCTGGATTGCTTCCCCTCTAATGGCTGGTCTAAATTTTCCTCTGGAGTGAGAGGATCATGTTTCTTTAGATCCTTATCCGGTCCTGCCTTGCCTCCAGATAGACACATTTCCTCTTGGTGCTTCTGAGATCAAAATGACCTTGGAGAGCAGATTCCTTGAAGCAGACAGGAGGGATTCAAAGTCAAATTTAGTATTCTGAAATTAGAGTCCCTCCACCTCTGACCTGAAGGACTTAGGAGAATACTACAGTCTTTCAAATAGCAGATTATACACTTCATTAAACTAAATGGTTTAATTTACAGAGAAATGCACACAAACTTATGATGCAGTGGCCCACAAGATTTGAAAGTGAAAACTTTGTTGCTTAACCTGCAATGACATATTAATATTTATATGAAATATATAGGTGGGTCAGAGAGAGAGGCAACCCAGCACTGTAAGTGCTTAAATATTGCTTAGCAGAAAAAATATTCTGAAGATAAATTAAACACAAATGTACCACAATTTAAAGGAGAAGCATTTCAAATGGGATTGTTTCTAAAAGCAAAATCTAACAGCTTGGAATATTATAATTTTAATCCAGCACTTTTCAAAGAAATTGAGGGCAGTATTCAGCAGCTTTTCCTATCCTCGCACCTCAGTGTGTGTGTGTGTGTGTATGTATTTAATTAATTAATTAATTAATTAATTTCTGTACTGCTCTTCTTCTTGGAGGACCTTATAGCAGTTTTGTTTTTTCCAAAACCAAAAATGTTTGTAAGGGGAGAGTCTTAAATAAAATTAACAAAAATAACTCCAACAATGCTCAAAGACAGAAAGTACAAAAATTAAAACAAAGCTAATTTATCAAAAAGACCACCACCATCACCACAACGAAAGAAGTAACAGACCAACTTATAAGACGATTTGGTCCTGAAGTTATTTCATAATGCATGCATGAACAAACATGCCTTAACGGTTTTCTAAAGAAGATATAGTATTGTGGAAACCAGCCGAACTTTCCTTCAGGGGAGAATTTAATTATCTAGGCTGTAGGTAGCGAGAAATCCTCAAATAAACTGGGTTGAAAATGTTTTTGTTTTGTCTGCACAGCCAGCCATTTAACATAGTTAAGCAAGAATGTGAACCTATGCCTTTGTCCAAAGTATGCTATGCCACATCCACAGCCTCAAAAGAGCTGCAATGTGTGACATGGAAAGTTTGTGAATAACGTTTCCAAGCTACCGAAATGAATGCTTCTCCCAACTTTGATAACACCTATCTCAGAAGAGTTAATTATTCCCTCAGCAGTAGCAGACACAGTCGCTTAGATTTCTGGAGTGAGGAGACAACACCTAGTCCAGGGGTCTCTAAACTTGGCAACTTTTAAGACTTGGACTTCAACTCCCAGAATTCTCCAGCCAGCTATGATCTATCTATCTATCTATCTATCTATCTATCTATCTATCTATCTATCTATCTATCTATCTATCTATCTATCT